CTTCTGCTGAAAAGATAAGTTAACACCATACAACAAAGTGTGACTTTTATGTTTCATGCTAGATATTATTAAAAGTAGTTTACATTTATTTAATCTTCTATAATACTATTCTCATTCTCATTTAGACAGGAGGAACTAAGGCACAGAACAGTAAAATAATTTTCCCAAGCCCACAGAGCTGACAGTAATAACATGGATTTGATCCCAAGCAGCTTGGCCCAAAATCTATGCTCCAAACCACAGTATATGCTGTTATTTCATTATATGCTGCCATGGTCCACTGACATCTGCAAGTGTTTATATAGTTTCCTTAATGACTTTAGCACCTTGGTCATTCAATATGCTTCTCTTCTTCCCCATTCCATCATATCCTTTGAACTCATGATCCTATGCCATTCATTCACAATAAAATCTTTTTACTATGTAAACTCAATTGTTCTTCTATTCCAGTGCATTTAATCTATACAAAGTCACTCATAAGCAAGATCATGTTTTGGCTCCTCTCAACTCTTACAATTGCTTCACCTCTAAAATTCAAAACATCATTTTCCTCTCTGAATGAAAAATAATCCTTCAAGCTCTTCATTTTCACTGGTGTTCTCAAACCCTTGAATCCCTCCCAGTTACCCAATCCCATTGCTCCCATACCTACTCTATTTGCCTTTTTATTCAGTTTGGTCATTTTCAAAAATATACTTAGATATGCTTCTTAGAAGTCGCCGCCATTCTGTTACAAAATTTGTTATTTTTACCTAAGTGAAAAACATAAGGACAGTATAGCAAATTTTTCAAAAGGTAAACTTTTTAAATTTTAAAATCTGTCCTTGGTATCTGGGATTATTGTCTTCCTTTTTATGTGTCAAAATACCTTTTCCTTTATGAAATGATAAAAGTAAACAGAGGGGTGTGTGTGTGTGTGTGTGTGTGTGTGTGTGTATATATATATATATATATATATATATATATATATATATATATATACTAAAATCATAAAAGTATATACATAAGTATATATAGAGGGAGAGGAGTATTTTTGTTTTTTGATATCCTCATTTAGCAAAATGTAAAATGTATTCTCAGTCCTCAAATCTAGGCCTTTCTCCCTGCTTTTTTTCTTTTTTTTGTATTGGTCATCAAAATCCAATAATTTAGGAGTAATTACACTAGACTTCTTCGTCCAATGGTTGGTGCTATTATTTATACCTTAACCATCTCCAGTACCACATCATTTTCTTTGCTGTCTTGCCTAAATATCCTGTATATTAAAAAGTAATTCAAAAACAAACTCTAGGAAGTCACTGACATTGAGATAAAGATAATACTTTGAAGAACTGCATAATAAGTAACCTTCTTTCACATGAGAATAGACTTTATCAACACTCAATTTAAGCAGTGTCATATAGCCTATAATTTATCATTGTATTCATTTGAATAAAAATACCAGATGCTTTGCCGAAATTAAAACACAGCATTCATGAAACTTTTTATAGTTTGCTCAAGTTTCATTACCTCTCAAAACAAAACGGGAGACAGTCTGTTATCCAAGTTTTATAAGGCAATGTCTATTTATAATATATATTTGACAATGAAAAATATTTAATTAGTTAATACATATGTCCATCATGTGAGTTGAACTGTGTCCCCCCAAAAGATGCTGAAATCCTAACCCCTGCTATCTGTGAATGTGCATAATTTGATATTGGGACTTTGTAGATATAATTAGTTAAAATCAAACCATATTGGATTAGGGTAACTCAAAATCTAAAGACTGATGCCCTTATAAGAACATGTGAAAACACAGATACACATGGGAGAATGCCATGTAAAAAGACAGAAATTAGACAGAAAATTAAAATTAAAAAGACAGAAATTAGAGTAAGGTGTCTATAAGGAGTGCCCTAAAACTAGGAAGAGGCAATTAAAGACTCTCCAAGAATCTTCAGAGGGAACATGGCCCTACCCACTCCTTGATTTTAGACTTCCAGCCTCCAAAATTGTGTGAGAATAAATTTCTTTAAGCATCCCAGTTTATGGTAGTTTGTAAAGACAGCCCCCCAAAACTAATATGAGCCATTAATAGGAATGAGAAAGGAGATATATTATCCAGGCTACCATTGAGTTTCAGAAATAAAAGTACAATCTATCTACAAATTTTTATTACTAGACCATACTGTATTAGAATACAGTAAGAACAATTTTATAAAATAAATAGCTTAGTCTCTCTTTACAGTGGATATGCCAGTTAAATATTATGCTTTAAAAGTTATTTACTTCAAAATAATTCAAATAATCTAGTAACTTTCTTAGCAATAAAAAGATTTACTTGGGAGACAAGTAAGATGGTACACAGTAATAAGAAGATTAACTTGGAAGACAAAATGGTACACATGTAAGTTTCAATCCAAAAAAACCTAGATTGTCATCTACATACTTACTAGTTCTGTGAGAAACTTGCAAAGGCCTCAATGTTTCAGAATCCTCTCAAAAATTTTACTTCAGGGCTAGGGATATAGCTCAGTTAGTAGTGTGCTTACCTTGCAGGCACAAGGCCCTAGGTTCAATCCCCAGCACCACATACACACATACACACACACACAAACACACACACAAACACACACACACACAATTATTTCAAAAGGTAGGGAGGTTACCTCATAATTTTTAGTTAGGATAAAATGAGGCATTTAGTCAATGTTTTCTAATTAGAAAAAAAGGAAAAACTTATAAGATATTTGAGATTTAGATGCTAAACTCAGAGGAAAGTAGGACAATATATGAAGTAAGTAGATAATCTCATAGAGAACTATATAAACTAATAGAATAAAAGCTGAGGAAAAGTGACTGTAAAGTCACAGCAACAGAAATATGGAAGTACCTAGTGGCAATAAAAGGAAGATCAATACAAAAAACAGCTTGACTAAAGTAGCTACTTTAAAAAAGTATACAAAATCAAAGTAAGGAGGTATAAGGAACTTAAGAATGAGGAAAGAAGGTCAACAACGCAAGAAGTATATTCACAATAAAATGAATGTTCTTAAAAGCAAAAGCATGCTTTTAAGACCAAGAACAGCAGCAGGAACCTAGACTGCAATAAAACTACATGAAGAAGAAGTAGAAAGGAATAATCTGTGCCTTAGTAATTAAGAGAGAACAGTTTAAGAAAGTACCTGGAAGAGTTTAAGGTCATATTATGTACATATAATGAAGAGTGTTTAGACAATTTGGAGAAGTCAGAAAGAAATTTTAAAAAATATCTTCCTCAGTCTATATTTTGATTAAGTACCAAGGCAACATTTGCAAGTAAAAAAGTTAGAAAGTTGAAATAAAAAAATAACAAAGAGTTAACATTTTCCGGGTGTTAACCCTATAGCAGGCATTGTCTAAGTGCTTTGTTTTAACACATTTAATCCTACAATCTCCTTACGAATCAAGTATGACTATATTATCATTCCCATTTTATTTAGGAGGAAACTAAGGCATAGAGAGGTTAAATAAAGGCTCACTATGATTGTAAAAGACAGAAATAAAATAAACACTGGAAAATTGTTAAATAAAATTTACAGTGGGCATAGACTAAGGTAAAAGTGATGTCTATTAAAAGTGAATTTCATTTCTTCCATTTAAGTCATCAACTCCCAGAAAAATTTGTTTTTCACTAATTCGTTGTTATCCTAGTTCCAGATTGATTTCCTTTGAGAAATATTGAAAATTTGATATATTTTTAAAATTTATGCTATGAAGCTATTACAATACTCAGTTATGTTCTAAAGTTTACCATCAAACAGAAAACAGGAAAAATGGAATTTCTGTTTCTCATGTTATTCTTCTAAGAATACTGGAATAATTGCATTAACTTAAAGATATCAATAAACAAATTAGGCAAATTAGTCCTTCAGTGAACACGTTAGACCCATGTCTTTATAACTACACTAAAATTCAATATAACAGGTTAAGGAAATAATTGAAATACTAGGCTATAATTTTAAACAAAAGAAAATTTTTGTTAACTGTATCTTTAATTGCTTCTGAAAGCCAGCCTTGCAACATTTTAACAATTATAATTTACCTTAAATTTTGAGGGCACTAAATCCTAAATGTAAAAGTTATTTAAACGTGTTTTTTCATCTCAAACAATGATCAACTCTATACTACGATAACCACTGCTATTCTCTACACGAGTTGACAAATTACCTTCCCAGGTTTCTTGAATTGAGAAAAGTAGACGCTCTGGGACCTGTCTCCCCTAGCATCTTGCCTTGTCCTGCCCCTTTCTCATTTTCCAAAGCTGCGTGCGAAGGCGTGGCTAAAATACCCTTCTTTCTTAAAAAGAGCACTGTGCTACCAAGAATGTAGTATTTATTTGACAGTAGGGAACCAGAAACCCTATAAAACTAGGGACACTATGAGGCTGGTTTTGAGGAAGCGGGACCCTACTTGCCTGGGGACGCAAGAAGTCACCTGGCACTGTGAGAAGCAAGGAGTCAGGGTCGGAGCTATCGAGGAAGCACCGCACCTACTTCTAACTGCAAGAAAGCTCGGAGACATCAGGAACAGACAGAGCGGAGCTCCTAGTCACAGCGCTGCCCAGGGTCCTGCCAGTAACGCCCCCGGGAGAGGTGGAGAGGCTCTTCGATCTGGCCTGCTCTCCAGAAAGAGATGAAGACAGGCACCTAAACTAACGCCAAGCTCTCAGTCTCCTTAACCGCATTCATGCCCAAGCGGCCCTGAAACAATCAAGGGAACACCACGCAGTGGGGTTTCAGTATTTTACCTTGTGTTACGGTCCCAGTCGACCGCCATGTTTCACAGAAGCCCGGGCCGCCGGGGCTCCCGTGTACCCGGAAATATCGCGAGAACAAAAGCGACTACCACCACTGAAAACGTCAGAAGGGAGACCATGTGGAGTTCTCGCGATAATCCCTGTGCTTACGAATTGTTTGGTGAATCAAGAGGCGTGGTCACGGTGCAAGGGGCGTGCCTAAACTGAAAGGAGACGGAGACGCGTTTTTAGGTGTAATCGCTTGACCAATCCGGAATCTCCTTCTGCCGGGAAGAAGAGGTTGCTTTCCACTACTGAACGCAACAGACCTCAGTACTGGTGAGAATTTTGGACGCAGATTACCCCTAGCAATATTAACGCGTAGGATTCCATTCTCCGCGTGGTCTGTGTCCCTGGTCTTTGCGTTCTTATCGCCTCCCCCCTCCATCAGGAACACTTGAATTTCTCAAGGCATGGCTAATGTTTTAAATTCGTTCAATGTTTTTAACGTTTTCTACAATATAAATTCTGTTAAAAAAAAAAAAAAAAGCACGCCTGACTTCTTCACGGCCTTCGCCAACATCTGTTCTTCCCTTAAATATTTGTTCAGAAAAAAAATTAATGATTCATCATTTCCTATCGCTTCATAGTACAGTAAGTAAGAAAGGGGCGGGTGGTGGGAGAAAGATTAATTAGGAACTGCTGGAGAGTAAGCATGGCCCGGGCCCCTTTTTACCCATCTTGTATCAAATGTTACAAGCAAACTTTGAAATTTTAATTTTCTGATTAATTGACCAAAAAAGGCTATCGAGAGCCGAATTGCAACTGATACACAGCACTATTTTATTTAAATGTTTTATTTGCCTTCTCATTTAATCCTAACACTCCTGTAAAATAATACCCTTATTTACTTGTTTGCTGATGATAAGGCGTTTGAGTTAAGAAGTAGCAGGCGTAGTTCACAGTCAGCTCTCTGCTTCTCTCAAAACTGTCTCATGTAGTGAATTAACTTTTACTGAACTATGAAATCTTACTACATTGAAAGTTTCCCCAAAGAAGGGCAGATGAAAATTTCTAATGAGACATTTCTATTTCAATAATTTCAAGGTAAATGGATTTAAAGTTCCCACTTCCTTCACATTTAAGAAGAAACATTTTTTAAAGGGTAAGATCATAGATTTGAAGCAAGGATTTTCTAGTTGAAATTCCAGTTCAAAAACTAACTTTAGGGCTGGGGATGTGGCTTAAGCGGTAGCGCGCTCGCCTGGCATGCGTGCGGCCCGGGTTCGACCCTCAGCACCACATACAAACAAAGATGTTGAGTCCGCCGAAAACTAAAATAAATATTAAAAAAAAAAAAAAAAACTAACTTTATGTGGGGCATATTATTTCTTCTTTGTGTCTCCATTTCCTCTTCTGTAAAATGGGTTATTATGAGGATTAAATGAGTTAATATATACCTAAAATGCTTTATCTTGGCTATAAAGACGTCAGCCATAAAGGGTCCTTCCTCACCGCGCCCCACACCGCCACCTTTTGTGGTCTAAGACTGGATGGGCTCTTGCTTGGATGGATGCTGGAAGTTTTTTACTTAAATACCTCCCAATCCCTGGAGTTCAGAGTAATCAACTTTTGGGAAACAACTACCCCATGAAATTTGGGTTTCCCAGTATAGCAAAACTAATTTGACCTTTCTATTTAAAAAACAAAACAAAAAATAAAACACCCTTATCTTATCTAACAAGACTAAACTATTTTCTCTGAAAACTGAAACCCTGCTGGACTTTGTTTTGTTTTATTGGTGCTGAGGCTCAAATCAAGGATCTGTGGAAGCACATGCTCTGCCACTGAACTTCACTTGAACAGAACTCAACTTTAAAGAGAGGTTATCAGTGAAATTATATTTGGAAAAAATTTTGTTTTAAAAGACAAACATTCTAAACCAGACAAGGTGGCACATGCCTGTAATTCCAGCAGCTTAGGAGGCTGAGGCAGGCGGATTATGAGTTCAAAGCCAGCTTCAGCAAAAGTGAGACCCTGTCTCTAAATAAAATACAAAATAGGGCTGGGGATGTGGCTCAGTAGTTGACTGCCCCTGAGTTCAATCCCCGCTAGCCCCCCCCAAAAAAAATTTTATTAAGTATTACCTGCAGAAGATAGATTTTAGACTATTCCAAAACCACATTTTCGTGACTTTTTTTTTTCCTTCTCCATAGTTTGAGTAAAAGCATTAGCAAGTAAGAAGCAAAACTAACATATGTCCACAACACCTCAAAGTCAGTATCTCCCAAGTGGATTGTATAAATTATCCCAAATCTTGTCTTCTCCTCTGTGCCTAGAAAATATCACTATAAATCTCAAATTCAGGTTAGAATCCCATGTCTCCTCCTTCCTCTCTATAGCTGCCAATCCCAATGGCCAGTCATTTATCCATTGAGACTCTCCTACCCTCATACTACACACCAGGGCCTCATTACCTCTTTATCCATAGGTGGTTGTCAAGTTGTATTCAAATTATATATTTACATTTTCAAATACTGTAGTTTACATTTTGGGAATTGAAAGTCTTAAATTACTTTTTCACAGAAGAAGTTTATATGTTGTATGTCCACTGATGGATACTTTTGGTCCATGCACAGAGGCACTACCTGCCATCTAATACCTCTGTTTCAGTAATCATCCACTAATATCTGTAAATCATTTATGTACAATAGTTCAATATAGTTAATAGGTTCTGAGGGACTATAGGTCAATCAGTTGAACCTGTAGCCTTACCACTCTTCAAACAAATATTCATTGCATACCTTTTATATGACAAGAGCTATGCTAAGTACCAAGTAGGAAGTAATGACAATGTGGATACCCTTGCCCATGGAATTTTTTCTATATTGGGGTAAATAGGCATCAAATAAGTAACCCCACAAAAATATATGACTGTGGTTGGTATTATTTACCTTGATAGTTATTAATAATGTGTATTCAGTATATTTACTATAAGTCTCCATGATTTTTCAACACAAAAATAATCAACAAATACATATTCCATACCAACAGTTCTCTATAATGATGATAACATTCAAATGAATGTTCAAAGAACATTTGCTTTTCAAATATTCTTTCATTACTCTGTTCATTTTTATATCATATGTATTTTATTTATTTAGTATCTTCTATGATCTCTATATATTTAAATAAATTTTCACTCTTGATATTTCTTAAAACTTTTAAATACATAACTAATTTTAAGCTAAATGCAGATGGGAATCTTTAAATAAGTTCCTAAGGCATAATAAATATTTTAATGTGCTATTAAGTTCCAAAGAAGCAACACATATTTAGTTCACATGCTGTAGGCAAATTTTAATTTCAATAACATGATACAAATGCTCAGAAATCTTTTAACACCTGTCCAAACTCAAGCACCTTTGTGATCAGCCAGGTAACATTTTTCTTCCTTTCAAATTCAAACTTCTTTCAGACATTGTACTGGCAACTAGAAATACTAACATGTTCTCCCAGACTAGCAGGCTTTATAATATTCTTTATAGCAATCACTACCTCATTTTCACCTGTTCATGCTAATATTTATAAATTAATGAAACCAAGCTAATCTTGGAAGAGACTAAGACAAGTACATTTTTATGTGTGTCTTCATATATTTGTGACTTTTATGTAAATGACAAATTGTCAAGAAAGAAATCCAAGATGCTATGAGTGAAAAATAAGAATCAGTCTGCTACTGATAGAAAAATAGATATTTTTCTATTTTATGATATGATTAATTAACTTCAGTGTTGGACTAAAATGGCAAAACATTAACATTTTATATCTGAGAAATATTCTTATGGCAAAATTTTGTATATTGTAAAAAATACATCAAACAGCTAAATAAAAGAAATAAAGGCCTTCCTAAAGTGATCAGAGTTCAGATGCTTTGATTAAAGATGATGAATAAACATTATTATTTTATAGGAACTAACTTGACAAATATTTCTTTTAACAAGTTGTTTTTCTAAGTAAAAGTCAAGTTAACAATAGGGAGGTCTCTCCTTTCTGGGTCTTGGAAGGAAAAAAAACCAATAATCAATAGACATTTCCCTTGTTCTATACACACTTTCTCATAAACTGGTCTTTGGAAGAGTAGACTGGGTCAGAAATTGATTTTCTTCTAATGGAGGATTGTTAGGATGCAGGAACCCCGCTAAAAATCTGACTCCCTGCTACAGACCACAGATTGGACCTTCTGGTATCACATTGTCAATCTAAATAGTGGGTGAAATTCTCCAAAGAACAATTATATTTATTTAGGAAAACAGCATTGCAAAGGTAATTCATGTGCTATAGAAAACCATGGGCATGGGAAGCTCAGACAAGAAGATATTAAAGGCAAAAGGGGAGACATTTATGTAAGCTACTTGGATACAGAGTTCACTGGCCTGGAGACATTAGCTTATTAGTGGAGGTACCCTTGCTGTGCAAATGTTCTCTCCAGAGTATCTTCTCTGAATTAGTGCAATCTTAAGGAATATTAAAGATAAGCTTTTTAACATACATCTGTGCACATTTACAAGGTGGGACATATGTAGAAATCTCTTGAATTTTCGATTCTGGGGGCAATAAGTGTGATAATGTGAGGCTAAAAATCAGTACCATTTCTATATATTTTTGTATATATACATACACACACACACACACACACACAGATGCATGTAGGATTGGTTTAGTTAAACTGTATGTTTTGTTTTTAAGAAGAATTGAAAAGACTGTTAAAATTTTAAAGGTTTAACAGCAGCCATAGAGGACACTGTGGCTTCTTCCTTGCTACTTTTAATCATCCCTTGAGGAAGTCTAGCTATTTAGTCATAAGCATGCTTGAGAAGCCCTGTGGAGAAACCCATGGGGCAAAGCATCTTTTTGTTCAAATACTCCTGATGAAGAGTGTAAAGACACTCAGATTCCTGACCCAGTGCATGAGATCTATTTCCCTATGGAATTTTACACAGGTTGAGCATCCCTTGTCCAAAATGTTTGGGACCAGAAATGTTTCAAATTTCAGAGTTTTTCATATTTTGAATATTTACATATACGCAGTTGAGTATCCCTAATACAAAAGTCCAAAATGCTCCAAAATCTACAACTTTCAAAGCATCCTGTTAGCTGTATAACATGTATAGTTTTTTTTTTTTTTTTCTTTAGGGTTCTTGAGATTCACAATGATGGCTGATACAAATGTGATTCATTGCTGGGCACTCATTGACTTCTCTGGCAACTTATGTCCTTTGGTTCTAGAAAATTTTCTTGGCTTATTTTCTTGATGATTTTCTCCTTCCTTTTCCTGTTTTCTCATTATTGAAACTCCTGTTACTGTGATATGGGGCTTTTTGAACTATTAAAAAATGTTAACTAAAGGACATGAGAAAAGAACAGAGTGGAATAAAAAATATTTCATTTGCTTTTTACAATTATGATACTGTTTTTAATTAGCACTACTTCTTTTGCATTTATTTCTTAAAAGGGTGACAAAAATAAAGTTTTTAAAAAGGGATAATAATTAGGGATTTGGGAGAGACTTCTGGCTACTTATATAAATCCTTTTCTCTCATAACACCAGTATCCTGGACTGTAAACCCAAATTAAGATCTTCGGATTCCCAGACTTGGCAGATGGGATAGCCAGAATTTTAAATAAAAATTATTGAGTACATTGAATGCTTCCATGAAAGCGATTTGACCCCCTTTCTCCCTTCCCTTCCTCTCCTCTCTTGGAATGAGTATGATAGCCTTAGCCTAGCAGCAATTTTATGAACTCATGTGCATAAGGGATAGTGGAAAAGAAAGAGGCCTCAGACCTTCATGACTCTGTAGAGCTGCTTGGTAGCCCTGTGTTTCCTGCTGCCAGACTTCATTTAGGAAGAGAATAAACTCCTGATTCCTTCAAGCTACTACATAGGTCTCTGACCAACAGCCTGACATAATTCCCAATGAAGTAAGGAAATTTGTACTATTTTCAAGCTTTCTAAGAACAGAGCCTCCTTTATTATGTGCAAGTCTTATTTTTAGTTCCACACATTTAATTTTTATTCACATATTCACATGTGTGAATGAAGCCGGCCCAATACCAGTCTCTTCATGTTTTCAGTCTCATCTCCCTAGTCCAAATCCATACTTGGCATGTGTTATCCTCTGAACACACTGTCAGCAGCATGGCATGGTGATTAAAGTCTTTATTTGGTTAAACCTGTGTGCTAATTCTGCTCTGACAGGATCTGTTTGTTATAAAACAAATGATATCTCTGAGCTTCAGTATGAACTTTGGTAAAATGAGAATGATAATACTTTTCTCATTCAGTTATGTTTAGAATTAACATATATGAAACAATGGACACAGAAAACTATTACAGAAGCCAAATGGGATCCTCACTCCTCAATTAAATCTTTTGTAGCATTTTTTTAATCTAGATTTTTTTCATTCATTTTGTCTTTACAGTACTAGAAATAGAATCAAGGGGCATCTTATCACTGAGCTGTATCCCAGTTCTTTTTATTTTTTAATTTTGAGAACGTGGTCTTACTAAGTTGCCCAGCCTGGCCTTAAACTTCAGTCCTTCTGCCTCAGTCTCTCAGATGTGTGCAGCCACACATGGCTTTTTTCATTATTTTTTAACTGATACATGTGAACATAAAAGTTGTACATGTTAATGGTGTACCATATAATGTTTGCTACATCTATATGTTGCATAATGTTAAAATTGTATTTAACATGTTTACTTCCCAAACGTTATTGTGTCATTATGATAAATTCTTTCTTCTTGAACTTGAAATGTATAGTACATTACTGATATCCATAGTCATTCAAGCTGTACAAAGTACACCAGAGCTTGCTCCCCTTTCAATTGCATTTTAGTTCCCATTGAATAACTGTTCTCCATCCCTCCCTGCCCCCTCATTCTTCACTGCTTCTAGTAACCACCAATCTACTATCACCTTTTATGATATCAACCTTTTTAGATTCCATATATAAGTGAGATCACTCAGTGCTTGTCTGTCTGTGTCTTTTTTCATTTAACATGTTCTCCAGTTCTGTCTGTATGGTTGCAAATGACTATTTCTTTATTTTAATTTTTTTCATTTGTTCTTTTTAGTTATACATGACTGTACTGTAGAGTCAATTTTGACAAATTTCTACAAATAAGGAGTATATCTTATTCCAATTATGAACCCAATCTTGTGAATATACATTATGTGGAAATTCATTGTGGTATATTCATATATGTACATGAGGAAGTTATGTCAGATTCATTCCACTGTTTTTCCTATTTCCATGCTCTCTCCCTTCATTCCCCTTTGTCTAATCCACTGAATTTATGTTCTTCCCCTCTCCCCTTGTTATGTGTTAGCAACCACATACCAGAGAGAACATTCAATCTTTAATTTTTTGTGACTGGCTTATTTCACTTAGCATGATATTCTCCAAATGCATCCATTTACTAGCAAAAGTCATAAAGTCATTCTTCTTTTGGCTAATATTCCACTGTTTATATATGCCACATTTTCTTTATCTATTCATCTGTTAACTATTGTGAATTGAGGTGCAATAAATATTGATGTGGCTGTGTCACTGTAGTGTGCTGATATTAACTCCTTTGGATATATACTGAGAAGTGGTATAACCAGATCAAATGGTAATTGTATTCCTAGTTTTTTGAGGATTCTCCATACTGCTTTCCAGAATGGTTGCACCCATTTGCTGTTCCACCAGCAATGTATGAGTGTACCCTTTTCCCCACATCTTCATCAATACTTACTGTTTCTTGTATTCTTGATAGTTGTCATTCTGACTGGAGTGAGGTGAAATCTCAGTGTAGTTTTAATTTGCGTCTCTAAATGCTAGAGATGGTGAGCACTTTTTCATGTTAACCGTTCATATTTTTTTCTTTTGAGAAGTGTCTATTTAGTTCCTTTGCCAATTTATTGATTGGGTGGGTGGGTGGATGATTGGTGTTAATCTTTTTGAGTCCAAAAATTCCTTCTATCCAAGGTTCTTGGATTGAAGAATACTCTTTTTGGGTCCTTGATTATTGGAATCTATCAAATGTGAGGGATAATGAGTCACAGATAAGGACTGTTGTGATTCCCCTATGTTTCCACCAAATAGGTTCATGCTGTATGTGGGCTGAGCCCTGCCATGTTTAATGGCATGTTTTCTGGGGCAGGGCTTAATTCACGCCAGAGGCTTCCCCCCAACAACTTGTTATAGTTACACACACCTGGAGCTGCTACCCGTCCCAACTATCCTTGTATAATGTAGACTGGTCATGTGCCTTCTTATTTCAGAGGTCCCCAGGTCTGTCCCTGGTCATGGCAAATACCAGGAAAATACACAAATACTAGGCTGAGGTACTTCCACAAGTGCTTTGGAGAGTAGGGGAAGCAAACAGTTCACTGAGTACTGCACTAGAGAACAAAGCATGGGAACATGGAAACAGAGCAATCCACCAGCTTAGTCCTAGTGTTCTCAGACCCATCCTCCTCAGTAAACCACATGCTAGACTCTTGCTCCTCACCATAGAGGGCAGTACAAACCAGTCACTGATCACAGGTTATAGTGTCCTCTGCAGTCTGATCTCCTTACTGTTTAAAGGGTTCAGGAGGTATGCCACTCACCATCTTCATGACTGTCTTTTGTGCCAATCTCCCACCCTACCAGGGTGGCATGGTGTCCTTAGGATACTGAATTGTGATTGTTCTGTTTTCTGATCCAGCATAGATAAGTTCCAAACAATAAGCCCACTCTCAGGATGGCTTCTGGTTGAAGCACTTCCAGATACCTACAGCAAGTACTGCAGTAGATTTTTCTCCTGAGCTAGCCTATTATGGAGGAGTAGTTTCCAGCCTCACTTCCTGCACTGGATTTAAAGCTTCCAAGCTCTATGGGTTTCTCCTGAGGCTAGTAATGCCAGTCATTGTTTATTGCTGAGGCTGCCTACACCCTCCAGGCTTACCCTGGGCTTGGGCTTGGGGCATTGGTTCCTCTTCCCCTGGGAAGCCAGGGTTGGAGTTGCAGACTGCTTCATACTTTCCTCTGAGTTGCCTTTCTGCTTCTCCGTGCTTTTAGCTTTCCCATCACCTCTTTCTTGATTTCAGGAGCTCCTCTTTTTTCTCCTTGAAATATAGCTTGTCCTAACTTTTCACTGGAAGTATCTTGCAAAGGATACTTGTATTCTGTTATCTTATTCAGAAGTCTCCATGAACAATCTTAATGATATGCATTGGATTCTGTTGGCTGATATTTTCTGAGGATTTTTGCATCTGTTCTTCAGGATGTTATCCTCTAGTTTTTGTTTGTTTGTTTGTTTGTTTTTTTTTTTTGTGTGTGTGTGTGTCCTTATCTGATTTGGGTATTAGGGTAATGCTGGTCTCATAAGATGTGTTTGAAAGAATTCCTTCCTCCCCTATTTTTTATAATACCTTAAGGAGAATTGGTATTCGATTTTTAAATGTTTGATAGAATTCATGGGAGGCTTTTTTTTTTTTTTGTATTGGGCATTGAACCCAGGGGTGTTTTTACCATTAGGCTACATCCCTAATCCTTTCTTTTTATTATTATTTTTTATTTTGAGACAGGGTGTTGCTAATTTGCTAAGGCAGCTTTGTGCATTGCAGAATTGTTTGCTGACTGGCTTGGAGAAATCCTCACACCCTTAACCTCATGGAAGTCTTCTGTGTTGTCATGGTGTGAAAGAGAAAACTCACCTTCTCTTACCTGAAGCCTCGGTAAGTGCTGTACTGTCTTCTATTTTCATAAATTTGTCTTTTTTAGACATTTTATATGATTAAAAAAATCAACATGTATAGCCTTTTATGAATGGCTTCTTTCATTGAGTAGATTTTTGAGGTTCACCCATGTTTTTAAGTATTTTTGTAACTATTCTCGTTTGTTCAAAATATTTTAAGGATCCAGAGAAGGGGGAAGCTTATTTAAAAGCTTTATTCTAAGAAAATTCACAGGATACTAGCTAACATGTATTAGAAACTTAGTAGGTGTTTTCAGTGGTTTGAGCTCCTTTATCTTCATAATATCACTATGACTATTTTAAAATTATTATTACTACCTGCCCTTTATGATGAGGAAATGAAAGTGCAATTAGGCTAAACAATTTTTCCAAAGTCTTAATTAACACTCGCTAATGGTGGAACTGGGATTTGAACCCAAGAAGTCTGAATTCAGAATCAACATTCGTGATCCCTAATCATGCACCAAAGTTATATATTATATGAGATTAGCTTTAATGATTAACTTAGCTAAATGACAATATCTAGCTCCTGGAAGGTATACAAAGACTTATAAAACCCATTTCCCCTCAAGAGAATGGATGGTAGAAAGTATAACTGCCAGTGTCCACTAAGCAGTTGGTAAATAGGCTCAATGTTATAAGTGACATCAGCAAGCATGAGTTACAGTGACACTTTGGACATTCTAGGAAATGGGAAAGGCTAAAGAGTGGAAGAGTTTGATGTTCTGAATGTGTGTGGAACTTCCAGTTTCCCATATAGGAGGAGAGCACATGCTGCTATGAGAAGCTAGCATTATTAAAAAGGGTTTTAGTATTTTATTTTGTGTACTGTCTGATCTAAACAGAAATATATGTAAGTTATGGAGCAAGGTAATAAAAATCTATAAAACCACATCCAAATTAAACTAATTGTTATGGTTTGGATGTGAGGTATCCCCCCAGAATCTCATGTGTGAAACAATGCAAGAAAGTTCAGAGGAGAAATGATTGGGTTGTGAGAATCTTAACCTAATCAGTGAATTAGTCCCTGATGGGATTAACTGGATGGTAGTTAGAGGCAGGTGGGGTGTGGCTGGAGGAAGTGGTTCATTGGGGTATATATTTTGTATCTAGAGAGTGTAGTCTCTCTCTGCTTTCTAATCATGATGTGAGCTGCTTCCCTCTGTCAACACTCTTCTGCCATGGTGTTCTGCCTCACCTTGAGCCAGGGCAGCATGTGCCAGGATATTTTGGTTCTCTTAACTATGCTTTTGTCTCAGGTCTCTGGATCTTATAAGGTTTTCATTTCTTCCATTGATTCCCAATAGTTTCCCCATGATTACTCACCTCAAAATGCAGCTATATGCCTGTTGCTTTGGTTCTTGTGTGTGTGTGTGGAGAAGCAGGTGAGAACTGGGAGCCTCTATTCAGCCGTCTTGTTCCTTTTCTTTATTTTGCCTTTTCAAGAGTCTCTCATATTTTGAGCTCAGCAGTTGTTTATATTGTCATTATTTGATAATTTGGTTAAAATATACTTCTTTAAATACCTGCGGGAAATAGAAAAATGAAAGTGGTACTGCTAATAAAGCTGAAACAGACATTAGGGTATGTGTTAAAAGCTGTTTATCATCAGTAAGAATTATATACTTATTAGCCTTCAGATGTTGAATATATGTTAAATTGACAAAAGAACATTAAATGTTGAAACTATCATTAAGCAAGGGCTTGCTGCCTGGTACACATAGAAACCACTACTGTGATCCCAGGCTTTTGCAAAAAGAAAAGGCTTTATTGCATCTTCAACCAGCAAGAAGGAGCTTAAATTTGCCTCCCTGATCAATTTGTAGCAGGGGAATTTATAGGAAGAGAGATGGGAGAAATTGCTTGTTGGATGGATGGCATGTTTCTTTGCAGTGGGTGGGGGTGTGTGTTTTACATATAGGATTTTGAGCTTTTGTTGTTATTGATCAGATGAGCTGGCTTTTTCTGCTCGTTTCCACTATGAAAAGCTGGTTCCAAACACTAGGAATAATTAGTGGGATGTATGGAGGCTTTCCTGAAAAACAAATTGAGAATTTTGTTAATTACTTTATGCTCAGACATGAACATGTCTCAACCAGTTTCAGTACCCCTTTGTGTTTCTTCATTCTTTAATCTTGAGAGGCTGGGGTAACCTCTATTGTGGCTATATCCTTGCTGAACTAGGGTATAGTTAGGCCTAAGTTTTGGCTGGAGGAATGAGTCTCTCAGGTAGGATAAGAATCACTAGTGGAAGGCCACTATTTTGTGACCAATCAAAAACAGAATAAGTGTTACCTTAAACTGAAGGACAGAACATAAAAAGGAACCTAGTCTAGCAGAAAACCAAATGAAGGTATCTGAAAAATGGTAAGGGAGGCCAACTCAAAGGGTTAGGGTATCTTTCATGACTTTGCCAGCTTTAAAATTTTAGATACTTTTAATTCTATCTATTGAGATGTGTTACTATATATGCAACAGCTATATTTATAGATTCACCCTTGTGAGGACAGTAGGAAGTCAAGAACCATTCTCTTAATCAAAGATACATGGGCCAGGGATTCCATTGTGGTCTTTAATAGGCTCTTTTTATTCTGGGGATCATTTCACCAACCACATACTAGAACCAGTTTTGCCATGTGTTGGACTCTATAGTCAGTGTGACTTTTGTTTCAAAAAACTATTATCGTTTTTCTTTTTCTCAGTCTCACATGAGTCCAGGAGTTAACTCTTAAATGTTTATTATTTAATTAGAACTGGCTGAAATAACCTTCTAATAAGCCACCTGGAATAACCAACAGATTTAAAATAGGTAGAGAAAAGAAACTGGACAGAAAACTAAAAGCCCTTGCATATTCATCTATAACTACAGTTTTAAGAATTATCTTAAAAGTGTTTATAAGAAAAAATTTAATTAAGTATGTCAATCAAATAAAATATCAAAGTAGATATATATATATATATATAACCATAAGCAAATTTAGCAAGAAAAGGCCATAAGTTATTACCATGAGATTAATTAGTTAAAAATGCAGGAGAAACTCTATTAAAAAGAGGGAAGCAGCAGTGGGAACTCCCACCAAAACTATTCTTAGGAATGCTGAATCACTTTACCTTAATGGGTTTGAATTAAATTCTGCCCAATGCTATCTCAAGGATCAATTTTGCAAGGTATCTGGAGCAAGTCAGTGGTGAGGAAATGTTGGGGGTCAGTAATGTGCTGGGTATGGGAATTCCCTCACAGAGAGTCACTTATAGGCCAGATGTTCCCCTTTATGTGTCTCAGAAAGCCCCCAAACACCAAGGGGTGCAGGGTAGCTCAAAGTATGGCTTGCTATGTGTACCTCCCGGATGAGCTGTTAGGGTTCATTCCAGTCTAGGAGAGGAGTATATTCTTCCAAGGTGGCTCCCTGTAAGACCATTACATGGCATAGCTAAGTTCCCCTGACACCTTCATCAAGATTTTAGATACCTAAAGCACAGACTAATAAACTAATAAACAAAAGAACACATTAAACCAGAGTATATTTCCAAACCAGACCAAATCAGGTGAACAACGACATCCCACAAGTGAAACCTTATTATTCTTCTTTAGGCCTGGATTCCATAGACTAGAATAAACCAGGACTTCCAAAGGGATTATTTTACTCCCAAAAGTCAAAACCAGAAGAACAATTTATGCCTCTAAACCAGAGAGAAAATTAATTCATGGCCCAGTTGCCCTTAATAGGTTTACTCACCAGGACACATCTTATTCTAGGAGTAGTTTGTTTTTGCTATTTAAAATGAAGTTAGCACCAAGAGCTGGTAGTGTTCACAGTGCAGGAGCAGGTTCAGGTGGCCGAGCCTTTCAGATGATCATCAGTCCTGGTGGCCACTGAAGGTCAAAACACAGAACTCTACCCCAGTGAGGAACCACATTGCCTAGGGCAGGTAGTTGAAGGTCTCAGATTCACATTTGAGTTGCCATAAATTGTTACTGAGCCAGGATCACTGCCTTGACACTCTTAGATGCCCATACCAAGGCACTGGGTTTTTACAAGAAAAGAGCTTTACTGTGTGGTCAGCTGGCAAGGAGGCCATGAGCTAAAATGTGCCTTCCTGATCAGTTGGTGGGGGGGGGAGTTCACAGGACAGAAGATGGGAAAAGTTGCTCGTTGGGTGACATACCTCTTTATGAGTTGCATGTTTCTCTTCTGCATGGAGAATATGAGCTATGATGGCATTGACCAGATGAGCTGGCTTTTTCTGTTCATATTTGTTCTTAAAAAGCCCATCCTATCCCGTGAGAATCAGTGGAAAATCTGGAAACTTTTCCTGAAAGAATTTTGTTATTTAAGGAATTGATATCTTTAAATTGATTGTACTTAGCCCATTTCAGAACTACATCACTGACAATTATAACTAAAAGATAAAGTAGAGGACTAGGAGAAATTAAGTCAGGCAATTTATGACATAAGAATAAACAAAAAAATTCCAGTAACCCTAATGACAGGATATTCAGAGTATATGAAATCGTTGATAAGGAAAGAGCTCACTGCAGATTTCTTTAACATAAGAAATGGTGTAGAAAACACAAAAACCAAATCAACTGATATTTGAATTTTAAAGCTCAGCCCAGATATTACTTCTGCAAAACTTTCACCCATCCCTGCAGCAAGTGATGGTTGTTTCTAGGCTGCCAGCTCTCATAGCATGTTGAATGGTAATTATTCTTATTTATTGTTCTTCTGGACTGGAATTAGATTCTAAAGATGAGAGAAACTTCCTCTATCTAAGTGCCTCTATCTATTCACAGTACATGCTCAAGAAGGCTTTTGAAAATAAACACGATTGAAAATTATTTCTTTAAATTTGGCTACATGATTCTTAGATCATTTTGCACAATATATTGCTGTCTAATACATATATTGAACCAACATATTTTCCACATTGAAATGTAAGATGGAGAGTGATTCTTGAAAAGAAAGTCAAAGAAAGAAATAAAGCTTTATGTCCTTTCTTGGTTAAAATGGCTTTCAGCTAGAAGAAGTTTAAGTTAAACACCTCTAAAGTAGTAGGCCCTATTTAATAAAGGCTCTAATTTTAGAATGCTTCCACTGCATTCTAAAATCACAGCCAAACTAAAGCCAAAAACAGAGAACCAAATAACTCTCTAAAACTTTTAGGGAAATTCAGCAGCTTCTCTTGTCCTACAGGAGGTCACAGTAGATTGTGCTAGCACCAAAATTAACTGCCAGAAGATCAAACAACAGGGGCGGATACTATAGACAGACAGGTCTGACACTTTAACACAACCCAACTTTAATCCCCTTTAATGTCATCTGATCAAAAGATGAGGATGGATAAGAGACAAAGTAAAAATAGCACAAACCATATTAATGTGAGAATTAGATAATCCTTTTTGCAAATCTCATCTTTCATTTTCCTCAGAGTCTATATCAAAAAGTATTACCTAGATCAATGAAGGCAGAACTGTTAGCCTAATATTCATGTCAGAGATTTTTTAGTAAATACCAAGACACTGAAAACATTTCCTCTTTGTAGCACTTGCAAAAGAGAGGCAATATTGAAGAAAAAAAGGTAGAGTTCAGAGAAAGAGGGATCAGAGAGGAGAGTGAGGTTGAAAGTATAAGGGACTGAGACAGTTGGAGAAAGGGAAGAGAAGGAGGTTGGTTCAAAGAGGAAGGATTGAGAGGTTAAGAGGGAGAAAAGAAGGGGGTTGGGGCAGAAAAGAGGACAAAGGGGTTAAAGGAAAATAGGAGAGAGAGGCTGAGAAAGTTTGAGAAAAGAAAGAAGTTTTATTTTCTAATACAATTACAGAAATATCTTGTGCTCATACTTGCTTTCCAGTTTTCAAATGAAGAGTCATTAGACAAATATCAACTAATTTCACTGAAGCCTCAGTTACTTTCAGATTTGATTAAGGAAAGACACATTTTAAGAACTTAATATTTTTTCAGAGAACTAAGGGTGCCTGACTTAAGTATATGAGCTTTTTTATTTTATTAATTTTGGAGGAAAATTTTGTATAAAGAGCACATACTAAACTGAACATTTTGATGTTACAATCAATTGTTATTAGACTCATATAAAATGGATTTTTTTAATCGACAGAAATTTCAGTATCATTTAAATCAAACTTTTATAGTAAAATTGTGAGTTAAATAAGGAATCCCTGATTTTTTAAATTATTTGTGTATATAGTTGGCCTTCCATATCATGGATTCTAGACTCATGGATTCTAGACTCATGGATTCAACATCTGCAGATGGAAAATATTCAGGAAAAAAGTGCATCTTTACTCAACATGAACAGTCTTTGTCATTATTCCCTAGCATATAACAAATATTTCTATAACATGTTGTATTAAGTGTAAATAATCTAGATGTGTTTGAAAGCACAGTGGAGAATATGCATAGGTGATACACAGATGCCACACCATTTTGTATAAGGGACATTTGCATCTACAGATTTTGGTTGTGGGAGAGGGGGTTCCTGGAACCAGTCCCCCATGTATACTGAGGGATGACTAATATATATATAAATATATATATTAATATATATATAATTTTTTTGCCTACTTCCTCATGAGTAGCTGTCTCATACCTATTTGCTTACTGAACATATGCTTTTGGAATACTGTAATCTTGGAAACCAAATGATAAATTTTGGTCAAAATGTATTAAATAAGAAAAGAGTTGCCTCAGACTCTTACTCTGAACATTTCTACAATGTACATTGGCATCTAGTCTTTTGGTTTTGGCTTAGGGGCCTTTCTTAATTCCTTTCTCACTGATTTGTGGCTATAGTTTGGAGAGATGAGGATGTTGGCAAACTAAGTTTAAGATGGGTTAAATAACTTATAAGCATTAAAATATTGTAAAATTTTATCAAAAAACTCAAAATCAAGTGATTTACTTTATAATTTTTTAATGTACACTGCCCAATGAAATTGTGAAACTGATAGGGATCTTTTCTGTCTAACTGCTGAGGGCCTATTCCCTGTAAATTAAGAATTTTATGTATTGAATAATCTGCCTTTTTTATCTTCCAGTGTTTGCCAAAGAAGAAAAATGAATGTGATGACTTACATGTGGTATGCAAGATATAAATTGAATGACAGTTCAGATTGTGAGTTCCCAGGAGGTATGAACAATATTTAACTTTCTGTAAGAGAATTTAATATTTTTAAACATATACATACACTGAATACAGCCTCCTTAATGATAAAGGTTGGTTTTTTTCACTGTCAATGACAAGAGACTTTCTTTATGGTATACTGTTATACATTTCCTGTTTCTAAACACAGGGCATTGTACTGCTCTTTCAGTGATGACACTTCTCCAGTGTCAGATGTAATCCAGTCCCCATAGGCAGAAATGCTCATGAAAATTGACTGCAGTGGGGTGGCAGTTATTGCTGCTCCAGCTCGGGATGCTCATGAACTTGGTGTGCCCATCCTGCGAGTACTACAGCGATCCTCTAGAATTTCCCTGCAACCAGCAGAGAAGCCTCTCAGCTGTCTGATTCATGGCAGACACTAACCCTAACTATGTAGAGTGACCAAACTATACACATATCAACTATCTATGTCTCGGATTTATGTTTTTTGTGTACAACAGAACAGATGCCACACCATTTTGTATAAGGGACATTTGCATCTGCAGATTTTGGTAGTGGGAGAAGGGGGTTCCTCGAACCAGTCTCCCATATATACTGAGGGATGACTCTCAGGTAGTTCACTAATGTTATGGATTGTTGAATTGGATTAAAATCCAATACTTTCAAGGAGAGGCTGAAAGATACATTTAGTACAGCTTCATTTAATAATGACAGGAGACTGCTATGCAGAAAATTTCAAGCATCTACTAAAAATAAATAGTACCTAATTCAACTATGAACTTTAGTCATTAAAAATCATTTCGGGCCAAAAACAGTTGATTATCAATAATTTCACATAGTTAAAATCATTCTTTTCTTGTTTCATTTAAAAACTACCATGCATTTATACCTCATTATGTTCAGCAAACACCCATTCATGAGATATGCTGAGAAGAAAACTCCTGGATTCATCATTGCAGTCCTTGAACTACGATGCATAAGGATGATTCTGCAGCTTCTCCACATATATTGATGTTTTTAAAATATAGTCCCTGGTAGTTTTGACAAAATGTACTGTCAGCAATACCTTAGCTTGTGTACAATTTTAGACAATTCATCTTCCAGTAGAAAGAGAGTAAAAGACATGATCTATGCAAATGCTTTATTAATACAAATCAATTGTACATATTGATGTGATTCAGTGTGTTATTTGCATACAGTGTGTATTGATCACATCCAAGTCCCACTCCTCCACATCTTTCCCAGACTCCAGTAATCACTATTCTACTTTGAGGTTAACTTTTTCTTTAGTTTCCATACATGAGAGAACATGAGATACTTGTCTTCCTGTGTCAGGTTTATTTCACCCAATGTCCTCTTATTTTCATCTATTTTGTTCCAAGTAGCAGAATATTCTTTTATTCTTTTTTCACCAGATAATAACTGCATTGTGTATTTACAGCACATTTCTTTCTCCATTCTCCTGTTGATGAGCAACTAGGGTGATTCATTGTCTTAGCTTTTGTGAATAGTGCTGCAGTGAACATGGGTATACAGCCATGTGTGTTTTGTTTTATGCTGACTGCATTTCCTTTAGCTATATACTCAGAGGTGGGATAGCTGGATTTTTGTTTAAAGAAATTCCATACCATTTTTCATATTGGATTTTCTAACTTACATTCCCATCAACCATGTATAAGAGTTCTTTTTTCTCTACATTTGTTATTTTCAGTTTTTGTAATAATTATTCTAACCAGGTTGAAATGGTATCTTATTGTAGTTTTGACTTGTGTTTCCCTGACAGTTAATGATGCTGAGCATCTTCTCATAAATTTGTTGGCTGTTTGTATTTCTTCTTTTGAGAAGTGACTAACTTAGATCATTTGCCCATATTTTAATTAAATCACTTGGTTTTTTAGGTAAATTTTAAAAATTTAGTTCTAGATATGAACTCTCTGTTAGATGAACAGCAGCTGGCAGGTAGGTATTTTTTGTTAATTGTTCCTTTTGCAGTACAGCAGCTTTTTTGATCCCACTTGTCAACTTTTGATTTTGTTTCCTGTGCTTTCGAGCTACTATACAGAAAACCATTGCCTGTACCAGTATCTTGAAGTGCTTCCTCTATAATTTCCTCTAGTAGTTTCATAGTTTCAGGTGTTACATTAAGGTCTTTGTCCATTGTAAGTTGATTTTTGTACAGGATGAGAGATAAGGGTTAAGTTTCAATCTTATACTTGCAGATATCTGTGTTTCCTAACACCCTTTGTTAAAGATGTTTTTTCTTGAATGTATATTTTTGGCATTCTTTGTTGAGAATCAGTTGGCTATAGACACTTGGATTTGTTCTTGGGTTGGCTCTCTATACTGCTTTTATGCCCATATAATTGCTGTTTTGGTGATGGCTCTGTAGTATGTCTTGAATGAGCCATTTTGATGCCTCCAGTATGTGTTTTCCTGGGAGAGTTGGTGGCAGGAATCACAGCACCCGCTCTCTGACAAACCAAATCCAAATCCTGGCAGCACTGCTTGATCAGGTAATATGCAGAGTCTCCTGTGGTGGGAACTGTGTAGACGTGGTGACAGCAGGAGTAGCGGTGTTCCTTTGCTGCTTTTCTGGGTGTGCCTGCCCAGGAACAGGATTTCATCCTCCAAGTCTTGGCATGCCTGGGGACAGCACAAAAGCCGGGACTTTTCTCCCCAGATCTTTCATCTGTAGTACCCAGTAGAGAACAAGCAGTAATAGGTCATGGCTGGAGCCAGACAAAATTCCTGTAGGCCTCCACTGGCTCTGTAGATACCGGGTCAGGGTAACTGACAGTCAGGGGTTTTCTTCCCCCAGCTCCTTCAAGTGAAGTGATTAAGGAATCATTGAGAAGGGAAGGGAGCTAGTGCTGGGCAAAAGTTCTCTGTAAACCCTCTCAGCCCATGTGTTCTAGGGACAGGATGACAGCCAGAGAACCTGGTGGCTCAAGTCTCCCTAGTGGCCTGCAACAAGCCCCTATGGGTGGAACAATAGTAGAAACCCCTGGGGTTCTTTCCCTACCCTGTTAGTATGCAGGGCTGGGTGATGGGAACCTCCTGGATGACTGCCTTAAGTCCTAGCACTGGTGTGAATCCACATGCAACTCTCAGAGGGTGGTGTCCTCTGTGTCATAACAGCCATTGTCTAAAGTTCAGGGCAGTCAGCAGATTTGAGTCACTCAACTGGGCCAGGTTTGGTTTGCTGAGCCACTTCAATGAAATGTTCTGGGGAATATTCACAGAGATGGGAATATGCAGGGGTTTCTGACCCATAAAGTAATTCAAATTCAGACAGTAGGTCCTTTCTTCAGATTACTTCTAGCTATAGCACCCTGGAGATTCACTAGGAGATAATGTGAAGTCATTTCCAAAGCAAGGTTACTGTGCAGATTTCAGATTAGTTATCTCATTAGGCTGCAAGTCTGTGAAGGTCTTGAAACACTCCAAGAGCTAGGATTGCCAGCATTGGTGCTAATAGCATTTGCTGGGATTTGCTTTCACCCTTACCCTGCAGAGGGGAGACCTTCCTTCTTCTAGCAAAGAAATTGGGCCAGCAGATATCAGGATATTTTGTTTCTTTTACCATGTTATTATCTCAGGTTTCTGAATCTTAGGAGGATCCATTTTTCTGTTAATTTCCAGTGTTTTCCCACAATCACCTACTTCAAAACGCAGCTGTATATCTGTTGCTCTGGTGATTCTTTGTGGAAGATCAGGTGATTGCCAGGCACCTCTATTCAGCCATTTTATATACCAGTTTACAAAAATGCTATTAAAGAATAAATTTTAAAAAAATGCCCTGTTGAAGAGATAAATCCCACCCATCCATCTCTGAGCAGTTCTCTGATATTAGGCTATTTGTAAAGAACTAATTTTATTCCACTTTGGCTTTTACCACAAAAACCAAAAAATATTTTATGTGGGTTATTTCTTATCTTTACAACAGTCCTAAAATAGAAAAATAACACTATTTTATAGAAGGAAAAGACCAAGTTTATACCCAAATCAGATACAAACAAATGAAACAACCAGTACATTTTATTTTTAAATTTTAAGTCCTGCTGTATGCAGTGGCACATGTGTGTAACCCCAGCAATTTGAAAAGTTGAGGCAGGAGGAATGCCAGATGGAGGCCAGCCTCAGCAGTCTAGAAAAGGCCTATGTAACTTTTGTGAGACTCTATCTTAAAATTAAAAATATAAAGAGCAGACATTATAGCTCAGTGGTAAAGTGCCCCTGGGTTAAATCCCCAATTTTATTTATTTATATATATATAGAATTGCTGGACTATGAGGCATGATTTAATTGAATAATATTGCTAAATTGCCTCATTTTTGGAAAAAAGGGTTGCAACAACTTGCATTGTACCCTACTGTGCTTGATTTAGAAATATGTCAAGAATATTAAAAATATTCATGCCTTAAATCCAGTGATTCTACTCCTGGGAAATTTATCTGAAGGCAATCCAAAATCTGGAAATATTTATATATAAGGGTAGTGAATCCAACACTAAGTTTAGAAAAGGAAACGGTATTTTTATGAGAATTATGGAAAGTCTACCATATGGTCATTAAAATTATATATTAGGAGTATGGCTCAGTGGCAGAACACTTGCGTGAGGCTCTGGTTTGATTTCCAGTACTATCAGAAAAATAAATAGTATTTTAAAGCAGCCTTTAATAATATAAAGCAATGCAAATAATCCAGAGTAGGAAAATATACAATATTATTGCAAAAATTTCAATACAAATATACAGAATAGTATAGAAAATACATGAAGATAATCTACTCAAATGTTCATATGAAACATGGCTAGATCGTAGGTACAGGCATGGAAATTATAGATATGTAATGGGAAATTGATTGTCTATAATGGGAAGAAGGATATTTTTCACTCTTAACTTTGAAATGTATGGGTACAGATATAAAGATACTGAATATTCGTAGGGAAAAGGGAATAGAAAGTTTTGTGGTGTTCTTGACATTAAGTGGTAGTAAGCAAGGTCCTTGGAGAATAGGAA